GCGGGGCGAGCTGCAGCCTAATCCTTTGTCTGCTGCGTCCCAGCCCTTCCGGGAAGCGGCGTCTTCCTAGAACCGCGGGCTAACCAGTGGGGCTCGGGCGGGGTGCGCGGGCGCCGTCGCGGGGTCTGGGGCCCTGGGCAGCGAAAGGAAATACTTTGACAGATTTCCAAGAACTTTCCAGGAAAACGGGGCGGGGCCCGGAGAGCCGACCAATCGCGACGCTGAGGGTGGAGCCGAGTGGCCGGGAAGGGCCAATAGCAGCGCGTAGACCCGGGACTGACGCTACCCAGCGGGGCAGGTCTGAGAGATCAGCAGGGAAGAGAAGTTAAGGAGCCGCCAGGGCTAGGCAACCCGCTCCCAGATTGCCTTCTGGCATTCTGCGTCATTGGGGAAGGGCCCCCTTATCTCGCCTTGGAACCCGTGGCAGGGCGGGGGTGGAGTCCCTGGCTTGTCCTCCCTGCTAACCGCTCCCCCAAGGAAGTCTGTCAGCGTGTGCAAGTGCCCCGTGTTGGGACGGCCGCTCCTGGACCCTAGGACTCTCTGTGACGGGTGTCGGATTGGGTGGCATGGGCGAGGTCTGGAGCGGGACTTGGGGCAGGGCGGGGTGCAGAGGACGGCTCCTAAAATGAGTAGGTCCACTCTCATTTCTGAGGGTCAAGCCGGCGGCCACCACAACCAGAACGATCCAGACAAGAACGTTTTCGTTGAAAGAGTTGAAGGAGAAAGCAAATCCCAACTTTTCGAATCAGGCAGACCATCCAGTATTGGCTGGCACTGGTTTCTGGCCGGCCCTGCCAGTCAGGGGAGAAGAGACTACAGATTTGAGGAAGCAAGCATAGACAGCCCCAGATGACCCGGACTCTGGGTTGGTGGACTTCCCCCCACCTCCCCCCAACCACCACACACAAAATGCTGAAGAGAGAGTCCTGTAGCTCAAAACATCCAGCGATAATCTGGGAGTAGGGTGATAGAGGTTGGGCCGGGTGGTGAGGGCATCAGAGTAACACTCCCTCTTATCTACAGGGAGAACTTGATGCATTTGGTCCTCTACAACTGGTGTTACTCCCTTTAAGAAGAAGGAAGACAGAGGCCCAGGGAACAAATGCTAGGAAATGACAGGGTAAGAGCTTGATCCCAGCTCTGAATCAGAAGCCCACACTCCTACCAGGACTCTCCACCTTTTTTCAGTTCACTGGATTCACTATGGAGCATCTTGAAGGACTATAGGGTCTATGTGAATCTTCTCCAAACCCTTGGGCCAGAAGAACTGTGGGATTGGGAGAGGTCGCAGGGTCTACTACCCCACCCCTACCCCCCTCCCAGTGTGTGCCCCGGAGGTGCCCAGAAAGAAGGCTAGCTTTGAGATCCTGGGCAGGGATGACAGGCCCCTCGTGGTGTTGAAGGGCCTGAACGATAGCATCCAGGGCAGACAGGGCTCACCTTACTCTGCCCAGAATGGCAGAGGGCAAAGAGATCTGAAAGCAAAACCCTGTGAAACTGGGGAAAAAATGGTTAAGTTTCAGACTTCAGGGCAGCCACTTCTCTGTAGCTTTCCTGAAGGGAAGTGGGGCTTCATGAATGTAACCCTGACAGCCCCCTCCTGAGTTGGTCAGAAGCTAGTTTCTTGGAATGAGGGTAGAGGGGATGGATACTTCATAGCCCACTTGGAGGGTTGGGATAGCTGGAAAGCCTGGTATGGGGCCCCTGTATGCACCACTGTCTTGCCAGTAGGAACTGTCCACTGTCTCATTACTATGAAGACAAAAGGACTTGCAGGTGCCATGCAACGGAGTTAAAATTTTGAACCTAGGTCTCTTATGGGACCAAATCGCAAGGTCTCTACCAAAACTATACTTCTTTCCCCTCACCATGACTATTCAACTGAACACTTACTATGTGCCAAACAACTATCACATATTATCTCCTCTTTACAAGTAAGGAAACTAAGGCATGAAGAGGTTACAATATACCCTAGGTCTCCCAGCTGGCAAGTAATGGTTGAAGCCAAGAGCCTACACACTTCCTCTTAATCTCTCTATGGGTGCTGGTGATCCACCAACTCCTAGACAGCCAGCTGTAAGGTCCTCAGTGAAGTTTCTCTGCCCCAGGCCAGTAAATGTCAGAGCACGATGGGAGTCCCTTTGAAAGCATCCCCTACAGAGGTCAGTGATTATGTGGTCTATGTGTAAACCAAAGGGTCCCAAGGGTGTTGGCCTTCCAACTATTTTTTTGTGTGTGTGAATATGACAGCACTGTGCACCTCATCTGCATGCTGGGAACAGTGATGTGCCCCTGTTCTGCCCCAAGTGCCTGCCTCAGGCACTGTGGGTCTCTCTGGCCATCTTAGTACTTAATTCTGCCCTGGCTGCTCCCCAGAAGCCCCCATTCTGATTGCTGGGCCCACACTGCCACCTAGTGGTGCCCTCTCTCATGCCCTCACTAGCCAAATCTTAGATTCTTCCAGGATAATCCCTCCCCTGCATCCCAGGGATTGACCTTACTGCAAGATTCCCCTGCTCCTCCCTCCCAGAACAATCAGCAGATGCATCACAAGAATACACAGCAGTGCCTTCCCCAAAGTCTGGCTCACTGGGCCTCCATACTCTCACCATGCACAGCCTCCCCTCTCCAGGAAGGGAGAGAGAGAGAGAAAGTTTTTTAGCCCTGACTCTCACTTTAAGCTATTTCAAAGTCTCTGTCCCCTTGGATACACAGCTATATGAAGGGCTGTGTGGCAGAGTCTGCCACCATAAACCCACTCCTGACCAGGTCCAGCCATCCCACATACTGAATCCTTCCATCAGTGTGGAGGGGATGTGGCAGGTGGATGCTAGAACATGACCACTAAGGGAAAACCACATATTCTGACTTTCCTGGGCTAAGTGAGTAGTTGCAAGGCATCTCTCTGATGGACCCACGTGGCGGACATGTGTGCCTGTGGAAGCATGGACATTGGTTATAGGGACTGGGAGGGGAGAAGCAGCACTTTTGTTTACTTTTCATACTTCTGTATAATTTGAATTAATTACAATGAACAAGTCTTACTTATGCAACTTAAAATTTTAATAAAAAGAGATCAGCTTAAAAAATACAATTATAAAATTTTTAAAGCAATTGTAATCTAAATTCATTTTAAATAAAGAAGACATCTTCACAGAATATTCAGTGAGATGCCTTTGGCTAGGGCAAGGAGCCAGCCTCCACCCTCAGCTGCCTAGCCTTTTGCTCATCTGGAATGACATCTTGCTCAGCCTCAGGTTCACCAGGCTCAAACCAGTTGCCTTTAGAGAGCAGAGCCTTCTTCAGCTCCCCAGCAGTAGAAGCTTCCAGACAGGCTTTCTCCAAGGCTCTGAGATCTTGAATTAGATTCTCAGGTTGGGCTCAGGGGCATTAATCCTGAGTCCAGCTGGGCATAAATGCACGTGTGTGTGCACATGTGCACGTGTATCCGTGTATATGTGTATTATATGCATGTGTGTTTATGCATATACATACCTATGTGTGAGCATGTGTGTGTGCACATGTGTAAAGGTGTGAGTGCATGTGTGCATGTCTGAGAGTATGTTTGTATATGTGGCTGTGTGAGAAGCCAGGAAGGACCAGGAGAGGAGGTCATGGTTTGAGGATAAGAGCCCAGCCCTGAAGTTGTGCTTTGGAGTTGGAATGGGAGTTCTGTCATGACAGCTGCTGACCTCAGGTTACTTAACCTCTCTGGGCTTTTCTGCCCTGTGTGTCTGTAGTGTGGGCCAGAAAGGATAGTGTGACCTCCTCCAGTCTCTGTAAGGTCAGGGGATTCCAGAGAGAGTACTTACCCAGCATCTGGTCTGTTCACTATGGTCAGCTGAGGCTATTATCTGGAGCCTCCTGCTTCACTGAACACTGCTAGCTTGAAGATAGCCTGGAAAGAATAGGGGCAGAGCCCCATCCCCCATCCCCACTGAACATCTGCACACAGTGGGTACCCACCAATAAGTTGTAGCGCCCTTTCACTCACTCATTCATTTACAGAACGATCACCTCTCCAAGAGCTCCTGCTCTGATGAGTTTGGACATGCAGCCCAGGCGTCTGTGATTGTGCGTTTGTTAACGAGTGGGGTTGAGGGGAGGCACTCACTGGGTCCAAGTTCCAGAGCCAGGAGTAGGATGGCTGGGAGACGCCTGAGTGGGACAGAGGTCGTGGTACCTGCAGTCCTGTAGATGGCCTGTAGATGACAGCAGAGGCCCATGCAGAGCCCCTGCCCTGAGCGGCACCTTCCCAGTCCCAAGTGAGCCAGCTTGCTCATGTCTCTCAGCTTCGGGTTGGGGGAGCGATGTGCCCAAGTAGTTCAGATCTGTCCCAGGAGACAGCCACCCTCCCTATGGCTCTAGACAAGTTGTTTTCTCCCCAGGGGCCCCAGTTTCCTCATCTGTGAAATGAGAGTTAACAGCCTGTGTTGGGAAAACTGGCTCAAATACGTAAGGTAGTCTAAGATGGGCTTGATAAAGTAGAGATTTAAATGTACAAGGCAAAACTACAAAGCTAATGGGTAATGTCTGCCACTCTGATGGGAGGCAGAGACTTTTTAAACACGACGCCAAAGGCCCAAACCATAAGGTAAAAAGTTTGGCGGATCTGACCAAATGGCAGCTCGGGATTCCTGGTCCCCAGGACTCCGTATATACCACACGGACGCATGAGCGGGAGCTGCACAAAAGAGGGCAGTCGCCAGTGCTAGAGAGACTCCCAGAGCCACCAGAGGCTAGAGAGTGGCGAATTCAACAACGACGAGATGCCACTTCCCTGCTAGTACAGGGGTCTCCCTTGGTGTCCCTGGAAACCAAGGAAGTTACCGGTTTCCAGGGACACCAAGAAACCGGTGTCCCTGTTTCTTCCAGGTTCCCCTCGGGAAGCCACGCCTCCGATTTTGTTCCGGCTCGGGGGCGGGACCCAGTCGGGTCCCGCCTGGCCCTTTAAGGCGGACCTAGCGGGGCCCCAAGTTGGGATGACGCGCGGGGAGGGAGGGGTGGAGGGGGGGGGGGGGGGGGAGGTCACGTGGGCGCCGGCAGCGCGACTCTCCGCCCTGGGCACTCCACGGCAGCCAGCTCCAGCGACCGCCGCCCCTGCCCCTCGCTGGTGCCTCAGCAAGGTGGGCTGCGCCAGGTAAGCCCTCGCCAGGTACGCCTTCCCCGGCCGCCTCTGCGACCTCCTACGGGGTCCTCACGGCCATTAGGCGCTCGGCCCCTTCCCTTCTTGACACGTGTCCGGGCGGTACTCGCTTGTATCCCGCCGCGCGACCACCGCCCCCTGCTGCACGTCTGTTCTCTCAGGCGTTCGTCCCGCACTCCCAGCTTGCCCCGGGCGGGCAGCCCAGCCTGGTTCAGAGGCTCCAAGGCTGGGGTGTGTTGGAAAAGTCTGGGCGGGACTCACTCTTCCCCTTTCCCCCAGGTGCCACTGGAAGCACCAGGCTGGGGCCGCCTCTGAGCGCCCCGCGGGGGCCATGGATGGTGAAACAGCAGAGGAGCAGGAGGGCCCTGTGCCCCCACCAGTTGCACCCGGCGGACCCGGCTTGGGCGGCGCTCCGGGGGGGCGGCGGGAGCCCAAGAAATACGCAGTGACAGACGACTACAAGTTGTCCAAGCAGGTGCTGGGCCTTGGTGTGAACGGCAAGGTGCTGGAGTGCTTCCATCGGCGCACTGGGCAGAAGTGTGCTCTGAAGGTCAGTGAGCCCTCACTGAGGCCTGGGGTGTCCTGAAGGGTCCACTCCTGACTCTGGGGTTCTGGCTGGACTCGTGTTTAGGCCTAAAGGAGGTCACTTGTTCAGCTTGGCTGCCGCTTCCATGTGAAACTTCGCTGGCTGGAATGGATCTGTTTCCCTTTGCCGGAAGCTGAGACCCCACCAAGGCTTGGGGTGGGGCTGCTTCTTCCCTGTGGCCCCTGCCTGTCTGGGCTGGAGTGGTATGAGCCTCCCAGGGCTGGCCAGAGGACAAGGCTGATGCCCATTGCACCTGTGGAGCCTCAGGAGGCTGCTGATGGACTCCTGATGAGTCGCTGGTCCTATGTTGAAAGGGAAAAACCCTGCTCCGACCCATCCCTGGTTCCTGGGCAGAGGGTGGGCCAGCCATCTAACCACCTCAGCCTATAGGCTCCCTGGAGACCTGGCGCGCTGATATAGGTGGCATAGTGGGTGTGGTGGGGATGCTACGGGTGGGTACCTGGTTCTGGCTTAAGGCATACAGTTCTGGACCTAGGGCCACAACCCATACCCAGAATCCCTTGAATCTGTCATCTCCGGGGTCTTTACTCATCTGTAGCTTGTGCCAATGGCCACCTAGATAGGTAGAGCATGGCAGGGATAGTGGCGCCTGGAGGCTAAAAGTACAGCAAAGGCTCTTCTCATTTTACAAAAATTTAAATTATGAGTCCAAGTGCAGAGTCCTGTAGATATGGCTAATAGGTATCCTGTTTGCCAGTTTCATGACCTTGGATGATATTCTAGACTCTTGAAGCTAGGCTTCTACGTCTAATCATGGGGAAAGATAAGGAGTTGTTGTGAACTTGAAATGAGATTATCCATGTAAAGCACTTGGTATGGGACCTGATACCTGTATGGGTCTGGAGAGGTTACAGGATTTATTTAAGGCACATGATCTTAAAGCATCTGAGCAGGGACCTGGGCCCAGCTCTCTGTGTCTTTCCCAGGACCACTAGTGCCAACAGACACTAGTTGTCTCCCCAGAGTGGCCTTGGAGGGGATCATGCAGGTGGGTCCAGGAGAGGATCAAGGTTGGACTGGTGGGGCTGGGCCCCAGGTATAGCTTCTTTGCCCACTAACGCAGCAGTCGAATGGGGTGGGGGAGCTTTCCAGAGTCTCAGGAATGGGATTCTCTGAGTCTTTTAGGGAAAAAGTGGCTTTTCTGAGGGCAGGTGGGCATAAGGGGATGAGGAATGAGAGTTTTCATCCTCCTCTGGGCACCATTTAGCCCTTCCACCTGTGTTAGGATTGAGGACAGTCTGGGTGAGTGAAGCCAGAGAACCACTTCTCGATACCAAGGCTTTGGCCCATGGGCCAAGACTGAGCTCTGACCGGTCCCTGTGGTGTCTAGATGCTGTGGGTGAGTCAGGGATCGGGTGGGAGGCCAGAATTTGTGGCTTCATACAGTGCCAGCTTTAAGTAAGGGTATACTTAACCCCTTCCCCATAGATGCTTTGTCTGATGAGTGACTTGGGGGAACTTCTGACTGCAAGAACTTTCACAGCACCTCATCAGTGGTCTCCTTGTTCTGGACTGGAAATTGGGTCAGGCCTGGAGTGGATTTCCCTCTGTATCCCTTTATGGGTGAGCATGGCTGGGGCTACTAGCTTGGGACCTTCAGGATCTGGCTCTAAATTGGCCCTCAAAGGGGACATGGATTAGATGGGCTCCCACTCCAGGACGTTCCTGTTCTTAGTATCCCTAGTGACCAAGCCTAGAAGTCCCTACCCTGCTAAGTAGATATTTACTACCTCCCAATATTGGGCTAGCACAACCTCTGTTACAGACATTTTACCTGTCCTGTGAGTGGTAGCTGTGGCCATGAGGAAGGAGGTGGCACCTCCCCACTTATAGCTTCTGCCCCTTGCCCAGGAGGGCCAGGACCTAGGGACCTCAGTACATGGGCAGGCCTGGGCCTAGGGAGCTTAGCCAGCTCATGATGGGTCACAGACCTCTCCTTGCATCTTCCTAGCCTTCTCCCTGCAGCTGCCCCAGCTCAGCCTAGGCAATAGTCATGGGCTCTGTGTCTTTCTGCCTCCCTGGTTATCAGGTTATTAGGCTGGCCTTTCCTCGTCTTAAAACCTGAACTTGTTCAGGCCATCTCTGCCCTTTTGTCTCATGCTCATCCTCTTGGCTCTGTTGCCCAAGATGGCAGATAGTGCTTAACAGGAAGCCTGAAACACAGCAAGCACTCATACAACAGGAAGAGCTGTGGCCACTGTCCCTGTAACTGTTGCTATTCTGTGGAGGCCCTAGATGAGCAGCTCCCTCCCTCCCAGGGAGCTGGGCCTCTTTCGCTTTCCCTTAGCCGCGGACCACCTGCTTGGTTCCTCTTGGCCTCAGTCATACTCAGTGGCTCCCTCCCAAGACCACCTTCTGCTGCCAGTGCAGCCATTCTACTCCATTCTATCCCAAGCACTCATTGCTGTCCTCTTGGCAGGAACTGGAGGACTGCCTTTCTTGGAGAGGGTGCATGGGTCAGGCAGTCCTTCGGTTTCTGTTCCTCCTGCTGACCTCTTTCTTGTGCCATATCCCAGGCTTAACTAGTTAATTAGTACCCTTCAGCTTTACCTCTAACTGGGTATAGCCCTGCAGGTTTGTCACACATCAGTTACCCCACCACATCCAAGACCCAGCCCTCAAACTTTATCACATATGTGAAAATTGGGACCCAAAGTAAGTCACAGGGCTTGAAGTGGGGGGTGTAGCAGAAGCCAGAATTTTCTCCCTTCCTCACTTCCTGCCCAGCCCTCTTGTGGTTTTGGCCTCTTAGCAGGCAGAAGTGACCATGACACTTATAATCTCTAAATAAAAGCAATAGGCTGGATGTGATGGCTCGTGCCTGTAGCCCCAGCACTTTGGGAGGCTGAGGCAGGAGGATCACTTGAATCCAGGAGTTTAAGACCAGTCCTGGCAACATAGTAAGACCTCCATGTCTATATAAAATTTAAAAATTAGGACTGGGTACGGTGGCTTATGCCTGTAATCCCAGCACTTTGGGAGGCCAAGGGGGAGAGCAATTACTTAAGGTCTAGAGTTCGAGACCAGCCTGGCCAGCATGGCGAAACCCCATCTTTACTAAAAATACGAAAATTAGCTGGACGCAGTGGTGGGTGTCTGTAATCTCAGCTACTGAGAGGAGGCTGAGGCAGGAGAATCTCTTGAACCTGGGAGGTGGAAGTTGCAGTGAGCTGAGATCATGCCACTGCACTCCAGCCTGGGCGACAGAGTAAGACTCTGTCTCATAAATAAATAAATAAATAAATAAAAATAAAAATAAATTAGCCAGATGTGATGGCACATGCCTGTAGTCCCAGCTGCTCAGGAGGCTGAGGTGGGAAGATTGCTTGAGCCTAGGAGTTTGAGGCTGCAGTGAGCTCTGGTCATACCACTGCACTCCAGCCTGGGTGACAGAGTGAGACCCTATCTCAAAAAGAAAGAAAGAAAACTAATAAAAGGCCTTATGGAGACATAATGGGGTCTGCAGGTAGGGTCTTCTTTCCTGCCCCTGTGTTCTAGACTGTAGGGCTGGGAGCCCTTCCCCTCCGACCCCTAAAGCATGTTGGAACCTCCTCTGGACTCCCAGTGCTCTCTTCGTCCCTTGTTTGTTAAGGAAAGTGGAATGGTAGGGTGGTGGATCCACATATCCAGGAGATCCCTGCAGAGTCCTCTGGGTCAAGTCTTTGTAGCAAGCATCTTCCTTCTGGTTCCCAGGATCTGGGGAGGTTGCTGGGGCTGCCGTCTCTGGGGCAGTTTCCTTCCCCTTGATGCCAGATGGCTGCCGGGACCCAGGCTGCTCTGCATGTGGTATCTCAGTGATGCCTCAAAGCACAACACAGAAGAGGACATATTTCTCCTGAAAGATGGGAAAGTAAACTCTGGAGACCCTGAGGAGAGGATCTCACAGGGATCTGAGGTTACACAGGGATTTGGCTGTATAGTTCTGAGCCTCTAATTGTGGCATTCGAAGCCTCTGCAGTCTAGTCCACCTCCCTTTTCTACCTTAGGTGACATCTTTCCTTCTCCAGCACTGAGGAATTTCTTCCCATCTGTCAAGACTCAGCCCCAGTGTCACCTCTTCTAGGAAGCTGCCCAGAGTTCCTGGCTTTGGGGCAATGGAATCTTTTTTGACTCCTAAAGCCATAATACCCCCCTTTGACTCAAATCTCCCTTACAGTACCTGGGCCCAAAACCTGGCATATATCAGGGGCTCATGAATGCTTATGAAAATAACCAGGCTTTGACCTCTCTGAGCTTTGGAAGGAGCATCAAGAGCTGGACTTTTTCTAGGTTGCTCTTTCTCCACAGGAGAGGGGTTCTTTGATTCCAGCTCAGAGATAAGCCACAGAGAAATGCTATTTCTCCTCTTCTAAGGTCTGGGAATTCACAGTGGAATCTAACAGTTCCACTGCCCCAACAGACCTCTTGGGGAATTCCTGGGAGAAAGGAAATGCCCATTCATGAGACCATTTCTGCCCTCTGCCTGCTGTCCAGGCTGCACCTCTGAGTAGACAGAGGGACTCTGTATAACCAGAATACCAAAAGGAAGATAGAACATAATGGATGCAGAGACTGGGAAGCAGTGGATCCAGAGCCCAGTACCCTGGATGCCTCACCCTCCCTAGGGGGATGGTGCCCACTGCTCCATGGGTGAGGCTGGCCTGTTGGGGCTGGTGCTGTCGAGCTGGATTTGAAGCGGGGTGAAGCTGCCAGGCAGGCCAGGCCCTTTTTCATTTGGCAGCCACCAACCCCTCACCTACCATCTCCAGACTGGTCAGATCAGCCTTCGCAGGGCCACTTGTTAGAGGCAACAAATCAGGAGGCACCTGGTGGGACTGGCAGCCCCGTATAACAGAGTCCCTGGAAATAGTTTCACTGCCCCCTGGGTTCTCCCAACACTGCTCCTCACCTGGAAGAAAAGAGGAGCTGGAGTTAACTGCCAGGGATGGGCAATTTGCTTTTTC